GATGAGTGAGCAAGTGGGTGAGTGAGTGGGTGGGTAAATTGGTGAGTGAGTGAGCGAGTGAGTGCGTGAGTGGTTGGGTAAATTGGTGAGTGGATGAGTGAGCAAGTGGGTGAGTGAGTGGGTGGGTAAATTGGTGAGTGAGTGAGCGAGTGAGTGCGTAATTGGGTGGGTAAATTGGTGAGTGGATGAGTGAGCAAGTGGGTGAGTGAGTGGGTAAATTGGTGAGTGAGTGAGCGAGTGAGTGCGTAATTGGGTGGGTAAATTGGTGAGTGGATGAGTGAGCAAGTGGGTGGGTAAATTGGTGAGTGGGTGAGCGAGCGAGTGAGAGGGAGGGTAAATTGATTATTGTTTTATATATAAAAAATATATAAAACAATAATCAATTCTCACGTGATAATTGTTATTTTTATTATTTTATTATTTCCCTTCTACGTGACTTTACCGAAAGAACCAAGAATATGAATCCCTGCAGTCACGAAAGCTTCAAATAAAAAAAAAATTAACCCATAAAAACAAAGTTTTTCACTATAAATCCTTTATATGCGTGGCATCGGTTTTATTTTATTATTCATTTCTGTTTTTCTTGGGTAAGAGTTTCATTTTTATCACATTGGTATTTTAAATTAAATATGAAAATTTTTTTTCCTAAAAAGTAACACATTTTGGAAAAAATTTTTCACGAAAATAAATTGTCACGCACAACGAGTCTGTGTGCAAAATGTCAGCTCGATCGGATCACGGGAAGTGGGTTAAAAAACGACCGAAAGATTTGCACGGTCCTAAGCAAGCAAGCAAGCACGCAAGTGAACTTAATATAAAGGATTAAAAAAATAAAAATTAAGGTTTGTAACCCGTTAAAGGGCCGGCGCCGTTGCTATGGCTGCCGCCGCCGCGTCGTCGCCATGGCAACGACGCGGCGGCGGCCCCGTCCGCTGCGCAATGGCGGCGGAGGAGGTGGCGGTGGTGCGTGCGGGCGAGCCCCGAGCAGCGACTTTGTTGACGGTTCTTCAAGAGCGGCTCAGACCATTGAACCAGGTCCGTGAAGGTCAACTCGAACTGTACAGGATACACACACACACACGCGCACCACTCTCACTCACACCCGGTCGATCAGATCGCACGAACACACGCACACACACACACAACGCACACGCACGCGGCCCCCAACAAGATACACACATCTTCTTGGTTCTTTCGGTAAAGTCACGTAGAATGGAAATAATAAAATAATAAAAATAAAACATAATTAAAATAATAGAATGGAAATAATAAAATAATAAAAATAAAACATAATAAAATAATACATTTATTATTTTATAATGTTTTATTATTATTTTATTATTTCCATTCTACGTGACTTTACCGAAAGAACCAAGAAGATGAATCCCTGCAGTCACGAAAGCTTTAAAGCAAAAGATACACACACACACATCGATGATTGCTACGCATCAATGTCCTCTATTCTCTTTCCCGTAGTTCTCGTGCCGGGAAGCAAACACCGCCGTCGTCTCGTGTTCACCATCACTGCATTTCGGCTTCATGAACTATTTAAAGCTTTCGTGACTGCAGGGATTCATCTTCTTGGTTCTTTCGGTAAAGTCACGTAGAATGGAAAGAATAAAAGAATACAATTTTATTGTTTTCTTTTTATTATTTTATTATTTTCATTCTTCTTCTTGGTTCTTTCGGTAAAGTCACGTAGAGTGGAAATAATAATAAAATAATAATAAAATAATGATATTTTATTATGTTTTCTTTTTATTACTGTATTATTTTCATTCTACGTGACTTTACCGGAAAGAGCCAAGAAGATGAACTATTGAGTGTTTTTTTTATCACCGAATTCGCATTCCGGTCAGCCTAACTGAGCTGTGTACATCGGTCCACGAGGGGAGGGGGGGGGGATGTGGGTGTCTTACTCTTTGTTTTAAATCGCGTCTTTAAAATATAACTCGCCCGGTTTGACAACAGGCTTGCTAACCCTCACTTAAGGGGCTTGCGTGTTAAGCGCTCCGAGGCTTTGTGCGAATTCCGAGATTGAACACCGAGTTTATGCAAACCTGTCATTGCCTTATCAGTGCCCTACTTTATTACAGACCAATTCAGACCTTATTGGTCATCCCGTGCCCCTTATACATCTCAACGTGTATCCTACAAAGTCCCATCACAAGGGAGAAACACAAACAAATAGACAATGTTTTTTTGCCCGTATTAAAACGGCCGTATGGACTTGAAAACTAAATTTCCCTGTACAAGAATACGGCTAAACCGTATGGGTTGACAGGTTTTAATTCGGAATAACAAAAATGTCTCTTCTTGTTATTTTGGTGTCAACCCCTGACCGAGGCTTATTGAGAAATATGTCCCGGTTGGTTTGTGGGAAAAGTGTCAACCCTAGCACTCTCTCACCCACTCATCCACTCCATGCATCCACTGATTCACTCACCCACTCAATCATCCACCACGAAAGGTTGCCACCCGTCCGGGATTGACCCGGATAGCTGGCCATTGATTTTATCTGTGGCCGGTATTTGAAACTCAGGTCACCGCGTCCATTATTATTATTGTTACTCTGATCCTTTAAACAGGAAAGCCTCACTGAGTCTCATTGATTTCTTTCTGGTGAGTCCTGTCAGGTCTTAGCAGGAGGGGACAACGATTATTGCTCTTTAATCCCAATTCAGTAACCTGCGGCTATTTTTTTTACTAAGCAAATTTGAACCATGACTCCGACATACAAAGGCCTACTCTTGCGAACGACGCCATTAGGATCATTAATGTCCACTGTGAAACAGACGGCTCCTATACTGCACGAGAAATATATATTCTCTGGTCACCTAATAAAGCCGCAGTATTAACCAGGGGGGCCGCTGGAAGAAAAACCGTGAGCCCCTGTGAACCAGCGGCCAATGCACTATCTCTGTTCCACGTGACCACCCACATTTGCGGTGCGCTAACCACGGCGCCACCGCTCTACCCCTCAACGCTGTTCTGCATTTGGAGAAAATGGACCAAAATTGCCTTTCTCTAAACTTGGCCGGTGATGATTATTATCAAGCCCTATTAATCCACCGGGCTATCTTGAGTCGCCGTTGAACAACGTGTTTACTCTGGGGAGGTCGCGTGTAAACACACATCAGCGGGAGGGAAAGAAAACGAAGAGTAGGAAAAACAAACCACGCATGTGAGTCACGTACTCCACGCACGTAATGACCGTACCGTTCTCTCTGATGTGCGTGACCGACGTTTCGCTCGTCTTCCGAGATCTGTTGACGAGATAGGGGGCACGTTCAGGGTGGTGGGAGGTGGGGTGCAGCGAAACGTCAGACATCACGCCGAACACAACTTTGGTACAAGCCAAAATAACACATGGATGGGTTAGTTGCAAGGACTGCAAAAACGCCAACACATACGCAGTGATAATGCCCTTAACCAAGAATCAGGATCAGAATATGTATTTATACTGGAGGAATCGATGAGCAATAAAAATCTCTTTTTCACAGACGTTCAGTATTTCACAGATGTCCAGGAAAGCCTCATGGAGTCCTGCGACTTTATCTCAGGTGTCTCCTGCTGCTGCTACCCCTGTAAACGTGGAACGTTGGGCCAACGTCAGGCCCAACGTTGCACGTTTCGTGGCACATTTGCATGTTTTCCCAATTACGTGAATTGTAGTTTGGTTTCACGTGGCAGGAAACTGGAGGGCTTGGGAGAAAACCCACCGCACACAACACGCACTGAAAGTTCCGCACAGATCAATTCACTAATTTTCTCTATTAACATCTGCCCATCTTGCAGTCCAAGCCTACAATCCCTGTTCTAATCAGGCGAGATCTCCCTTGGAAGTAATTAAGCAGGCTCAACTTTTGCTCGTGTTCCAAGTTATGGCAAGGCATGGAGAGCGCATTGAGGATTATCTGGGCGCAGGCCAAATATAATAATTGAGCGGTTAGTTAATAAAGGCTAAAGAAGGGAGGCGATGGGAGTATTAGCACTGGTTTATACGCATGCCAGACCATCTGTGCCAGCAAATATACACACAAAGACAAAGTTTCCCCCTATAGCCTTAACATACTGTTGGGGTAATTGCTGTGAGCGAGCGCCTATGAACGACGGAATGGTACACAAGAGGATGGTGTAGCCAGCACTACATCTGACCGCCTTTTTCTCCCCAGTGGTGATGTTTAGATTTCGCACCAGATACTCATTTGAGGCTGAGTCGACCTAGGGGAGGCCCAGGACCGGTTCAGATAATCGCCACTGATGTTGGCCGTGAGCAGGATCGAATTCGGGTCCCCTGGGTTTGTAGCGCATTGCGCTAACCGCTGCACTACCACTCACATACACACTACATATAGTTTGTTTAACACGGTTTTTGAGTTAGATCGTGTACATATAAATGTGTCGTTAAACCTGCCACCACCATACACATCCAATTAAGGTTTGTCACGTAAACAAAGGGTGATAATTAGTTACTACTTCAGCACACCGGTGTGTTGGAGAGTAAACCCACAACATTTACAATTTGAGTTTGGCGTTTCACTTGTTACAACCAGCTTCATCTGATTGGCAAATCGCTTAAATGTTGTGGGTTTACTTTCCAACACACCGGTGTGCTGTAATCGTATCGAATTGTCACGTTTTATTTACGTGACAAACCTTATTAATTGAACGTGTCGGGTGGTGGCGGGTTTAACGACACATTTATATTCACGCGATCTAACCCCTAAAAAATAATCTCTTATTGACACTACAAATATACACAACACACCTGCACAGTCAAGAGCACACCGGCAGGCACTCGAGGTAGTCCGCTCTTCTGTGTGACCGTTGTGCCGCATGAAAGCCCAAGCTCAACCCACACAAGCCCTGCCAAGCGGTCACTATGTACCACAGACACACACACACACAGGTGGTGGCGGCGGCCTTTGTTTGCACGGTTAACGAAACAAAAAACGGGGGCTGCTGGTCCCCAACTCAGTCAGGTCTCATTACACGAAAGTCGGCGACTTGGAATTGACACGCACGGCAGTGTTAAGTTGAAGTTACACGATCCAACTTCCCCCCCCCCCCCGCATCCCGATAAGGCGATAGGGTTTTTTGTTGTTGTTGCTTTAATCCGCATTGCTCCATTCATTTTGAGGGTGCAACACCCGTGGGAATAAAGTTGTGCGTGGGTCGGGCAACTCGAAGCAACTGTTTTCGGAGTCAACAAACCCTCATTGAAGAGTTTGTGGTCGGCTGTACGGTTGGAAGCGACTTCAGTTCTGCATGCACGCACGCTTACAAGAAGGACTTTACAAAAACGAGCCTTCCTCCTGCTGATCATCATCATCATCCTCCTGCTCCTCCACTGTCACCGTCCGTCACATGCCGGCCACCGCCATGGCTCACAAGCCGACGAAGCCGCCACAGCGGGACCACCACGCCGCCCCTGTGGCCCCAGCGGCGCCCAGGGGTAACCTGTACGAGCGACTATTGGAACGGCGTGCCCTCCGGGCTCAAGGCAACGAGGCGGTGTGCGAGCAGCCTGCCCCAACACCACCACCGCCGCCGCCACCACCACCACCACCACCGCCCGCTTTGTAAAACTTCTCTATAGTTCAGCTTGAGTTCTCTGCTCATTGGCAGAGAACTAAAGATCTTTGGCTCGGTTTACCTCCTTGTCACTCTTCTAAGGCTACTGCCACGGCGACTCTGCTTCTATTCACCCGTTTTGATGAAGTTTGTCTGCCAGACTTGCTCCCTGTCACCTCGAGCGAAGTCGACCACCGCACTGCCCTTCTCTTCCTGCCTCTTCCCCTCGCGCTGCTCGACGTTGGAGTTCCCTTCCCATCGTCTCTGCTTCGCCAGTTCTTATAGCAACATCGCTCGAATCAAGGAACGTATGAAGACTTGTCTCTTGCAACTTCAAGAGTGACGTTTGCTGTTGGCCACGTGGCATTTTAGGGAACTGCGCTCAGCAACTGTGATATAAGAAAAAACTCACTCGACGCTGTCCGATCTTGAGCCTCCTCCTTCATTTCACTGTACGTCTCCCTTCTTTCAAGTCTTTAAACGGCCTCAAACTTTCTCTGCCTATGGCCTCCTTCCCAACCGCCTCCCTTCCAGAACGTCCTTCGTCGAGCTTCCCTCTCAGACAATGTCGTCCAGTCCACATATTCAGATTTTTTTTCCATTCTAAATGAAGCATTTCTCCTCCCCAACCTGCTCTCCATCTCTAACACCGCGACGGTTTTCAATTTCTCGCTAAGCGTTCGCCGTGGAAAGTCGTGACGTGTAGCCACAGTCGTAAGGAGAGGTATGTGTATGCGGTGTGATGTCTTGGGTGTGGAATTATTTTCCCAAGTCGTTAACCCGGCTGAAATGATGCCCTGGTACCACAGTACGAGTACTGAGAGTCGCGCGTGTCTTTTCGGCTGAGTGTTGTCAGTAGCACTTAGATTTCCAAATCACCTTTGGAATGCGCCCAATCTCGACGGATCTTGGAAGCAAGTAGGGTTTAAGCCTAGTTATCACTCGGCTGTGAGATATTCCTGGGAATGCTAGGTGTTGTAGGTTTAGGGTGGTCATGTACAACAATGGGATTTTGAATCTGTGGAAAGCTTTTAAAAGTGTTACCTCCCCATATGTGTGTGCGTGCGCTGCGAACCCGGCGACCCGAGTTCCATTTCCACTCACGACCAACACCAGTGACGATTACCTGAACCTGTTCTGGACCTCCCCTAGGTCGACTGACTTAAATTAGCACCTGGTTCGGTGTGTGTAAACATCATCACTGGGCAGACAAAGGCGGTCAGGCGTGGTGCTGCCCCCCCCCCCCTCCCGTGTGCCATTCCGGCTTTAATAGGTGCTCGCTAACACCACTTTCCCCAACAGTCTGTTAAACGCTATATGGGGGATTTTTATCTACGTAATTGTCTCGGGATACTCCTCCCACACAACGTCAAACACTCATTAATGGGATTATACAAACTTTGCGATGTGGCTGGACCCTCCTGAGAAAAACTTTGGAGTCTTTAAGGATTTCCTGCACACATATACTTCAATGTATTGTACAGCTATAGTACATTCTCATCTTATGATTCGGAAATATTATAGTTAAACACTTTCACTCTTGATGGATTAATCCGGCTTTGTTCACATAAGGAAGAGCATTTGCACGTTATACTGCCACGCTTTTCCTTAAAAGCCATCATCTACGGCCGACAATTCCCGATCAGCGTAACAAGTGGCGCCACAGTGGCAAGATGTTCACTACCTCACCTGGTATGCAGGAGGTCGTGGGTTCGATCCGAACCCTGACACCTGCACATTTAGAAACATACGTTTAGAGTGTTTGGCTGTTACACGTTTCCACGTGATAAGCCAATTCGTTGAGCTATCATTTGTGGCCGAGTCACTACTGAGAAAGAGCTACGTATCTCATTGGGCCTTACCTGGTAAAATAAAAATTGTTTTCAGTTTTAAGTGGCTTTTGGAATCACACTTTTAATACTTTAATGGCCATTATTTGAAACAGATGTGCAATTCAAATGCCAGTGTAATTGCAGGGCCCACACACATTTTTTCACAAAGCATCGTCTGTGTGTCCGTGTTTTAATCGTAGATCATAAATAAAAATCGTGATTTTTATTTTGTATCTTCACCCTGTTTGTTTTGGCAGAAGTCGCTGCTGCACCGCTTGATATATGTGGGACAGCTCCACCCAGATCTGGCGGACAAGCGGGAGCTTGCAGGTACACTCAGCGCCCTGCTCACGGTGGGCAGGCAGCAAGTGGGGAGGAAATTGGGGGGGGGGTCGGAGAGGAAAGCCGGGGGCACGCAGGCTGCGGTATGGATATCGTGCAGGAGAAATGTATGCATGTTGAACTTCTTTCGCACAGTACGTAGCCAACCGTGCTAATCGGAGGTGCACGGGGGGAGGGGTTAACGTCCGTTGCGATGACAAAACTAATACACATTGTGACGCAAATGCCTTGCGAACACCACACGCAAATACACAACATGGCACAAATGCCGAACACAAAACACCGATACATGACATTGCCCACACGATTTACTAACACCACATAGACCTGAGGAGTGGAAGTTTGATCTCTCTCTGTATTGTGACCTCTGGAGGGGGTGGAGGGGGGGGAGAGGAATGGGGGGGGGGGACCAGTGGCCTTGCTTGAGAGGCCGCGATACTAAATGTGTTGAGAACCACTGGATTACGTAAGTACGTATATATGTTGAACTTCTTTCGCACCGTACGTAGCCAACTGTGCTAATCAGAGGTGCGGGATTAAACAAAGGTCAAGAGGTCATGATGGCCAGGTGCCAGTGACGTCACCTTTGCAATTGCTTCTTTGTGCGGCATCCCGCAGCTGTTACAAAACCCGGCTGCAAATGAAGATGCCACCCGGCAGACAAAGTAGCCCTCGTAGGCACGTGCCTGGTCTGGGTGTCACGAATTGTGCGGCACGAGTTTGATTCGGAAGTGAAAAGCCATGCGGGAGGCCGCGTGGCACAGTTTGGCGCCAGCTATCACAGAGTGCGGCGGTCGTGTCACCACGGTTCTCTGCGGTGAGCACGGCGTCTTTAAAAACAGCGGCGCTACGCCTCTCTAAACAAAATTTACGCTGAGCCGTTTGCGCATTCCGAGATTCAGGGGTGAACGGGACACCCACCCTGCAACTTACAGGCGTCTCGGAACGGTGAAGGGTTAATGTTTTGCTTAGTCTGGCCTACATAGAGTCGTAGGGACAGTGCTACTGGATCATGTACTACTTCCCGCACCTCCGATTAGCACGGTTGGCTACGTATAGTGTGAAAGATATTCAACATACATACATTAATTATTAGAGTCCGCCCGAATTTTTTGCTTAAGAAACTTGGAGAATACAGTCAGAGTACTTTAAACTTGACATGGGCTTCGCCTATTTGAACTTAATCTTAAATTAATGCCCGGTCTTATAGCACCGGGAATATGGTAACCGTTCAAGTTTCAACACACACACACAAAACACCAACAACAACAACCGCTTGCGAAATTGAACAAAACTTTGGAGACTTAAATTTGCAGCGTTTGTAAAAGAAACACAATTCTCAAAAAGTGCCTCACTTTATGGTCGTCGTTAAACCGCCGTAAACACGCTCCGCCTCGGAGGTGACCTGAAAGAGGGCATTGCCTCAAACAGTCGGCTCACAACTCGTATCAAGGCATTTTTTACTAATACGGTAATCGCGATGCAAGTAAATCACTCTCAAATGTTGGATCTTCTGCAGGGAAATATTTGGCAGCGCTGAAGCAAACACCCAGATGTCCTGTAAAAAAATACATTATGTTCATAAAACTCGATATTGTAAAATAGGAATGTAGACAATTGTGCGCACAAAACATTATATTAATCCATTGGAAGATGTCCACCAACATTGTGATGAAATATGAAATGTTCAGAAAACAATGCCTTTAGAAATTGGCAGTAAAGGATTTTATGGTTAAACTGCAACTTACAAACCCAATACAACATGGAACCTGCATTCCCCATGGTATAATTACCATGCATTGACCTTAACAGGGAGTATGCTGTGTGCCTGCCTACGATGCAGACTGTTATTAATATTAATAGGTTGCTTATGTTGGAGTTCGCTAAGGCGGTATTCACTCATGCGGTGGTGTTAATTACAATGTCTGGGACCAGTTTCCAGACATTCATGGCAAGTTTGCGTGCTAATTATTTTGACAGTGCATTGCGAAAGCCATGCTCGTACTTATGAAACATAAAATAATAACTCACAGCCCTTTGTCAATCTGCTGTTGGATGAAGCCTCCCTTACACCATGTCAGTCATAGGGGTGGTTTGACCATACGTCACCACGCTGGTCATCGTGTGTTCGTGAAGGGGGAGCTGCAGGACTGGTTCAGATGTAACTCTCCTCTGTTGTGCGTCGTGGCCTTGAAATCGAACGCCGATCGCCGGGTTCACAGTGCAGTGCGCGAACCACTGCGCCCACCGCTCCCCCATGCTTCGAATTATCTGTCACCAGTTGGAGCTCTTTGCGCTAAAGAACAACGGAGCGACACCCTCTGTTGACGGCTCTGAGACGGTGGTGGAAATTCCATCGGTAGACACAACGTTATCCATAGGGCAGCCACTGTTTATACAATTTTGGGAGGAAATCGCCGACGCACCAATGTGAGGGGCCAACGCTCTATCCCACACAGAAGGGACGGATAATATTGATCCCCACTTTGCTGCACGGCCTTCTCCCGGCGAGCCAGGGTACGTACGGCGCGTCCCCGACGTCCACAGGGAGTTTCACAACATTTGTTACCTTGATCCACCAACGCACGCTGCTGCCTCCACCGTGCTGGATAGCAGGGCACGTGCAGCAGCACAGCCAACACCGCCCCCCGGGATGATCATAAGGCAGTTTTTTTTTGTGGCATAACCATCTCCGCCCGATTTTAGTCTTTTTGGACCACTCGATGAGCCTCTGGCTGGTATCAAGTTTCAAAGTGGTGAGGATGCAAAATTGATGTCCTTAAATGGTGGCATAAAACGTTCTCTCAGAATTCTGTGCTTCAGGCATTCAGTTGGTGCAACAGAACCCATGAGACAAATACATTATGAACATAAAACAAGAGAAATATCTTGGAAAAATAGGATTCGCGTGACATCATAGAGTTTGTGTGTATCTAAGTTGAACTTAATTCGCACCGTATGTAGCCAACCGTGCAAATCGGTGTTGCGGGAGAAGGACAATAAACTAAACACAAAAATCAGTTCTAAAGAAGGTATTTTTCATTTCGATTATTTAAAAGTGCATAGCTCCAGCGACTTCCTATTATCGGAAGGAAGAGCGTTCCAGACGGCCGCAGAAACGCATCTGAAAGCGCGTGATGCAGTGGCCGTCTTTATTCGAGTTTGCGAACGCAGTCTGGGCCGTGCATCGATGCATTCCTCTCCCTGGCCGTTTAACATCCCGTCGACTATGACTGCGCACATGTTTGTTTACATTTTATTACTATTATGATTTGTAAATGCATTGTACATGTGCACAAAGTGATCGCAGCGCGCTAAATTGCGATAACCCAATACGTCTCCGCGATCTTAAGCCGAAGTCTGCACCGAGAGCCTTCGAGAGAGGTGGAATACCTCAACGCAAATGCGCGTTTTGGCCAGATTGAAGCATTTAACTTGCGTGAAGACAAAGAGCCCCCGTATAGCCTGAACAGACTGTCGGAGCAAGTGGTGCTAGTGAGCCGGAACAGCACATGAGGGTATGGGAGTGGATTTCCAGCATCACGCTCAGCCGCCTTTGTCTCTGGAGGGGTGATGTTTACACACCAGACCAGGTACTTATTTAAGGCTGAGTCGACCTAAGGAAGGCCCAGGAACCGGTTCAGATAATCGTCACTTGATTTCGCCGTGAGCGGGAATCAAACTCGGGTCGCCGGGTTCGTAGCGCAGCGCGCTAACCGCTACACCACTTTTACCACCACCACCCACAACTCTGAAAGGTTAACGCACCATGGAACTCGATGACAATTACGCTGTGCCGAGAGCGAGCTGTTTCTCTCTTTCTGCGTGTACCGCAATGGCCTCCCTCCCTCCCGTGTGTCTCTCCTTCTCTGGGGCCAGAGTATTACGAGCGGCTGTTTGCTCGACTGCACAAGCACCACCAGGGCGAGGCGGCCTATGGCCTGCTTCTCATCTACCCGACGGCCGTCATCCACACCGTCGAGGTCAGAGCCCCTTGCGGCGCCGTGAGAAAAATATTTGTCCCGGGCCGTGCGGCGAGCGCTCACGAGGCCGACAAAATTGTGAGCGGGGGGGGGGGGGGGAGTAGTGAGAGTGCTGGGATGGGGGGCCTCTAGCAAGCGGGTGATGATTCAGCACTACGCTGACTGCCCCTGTGCGGCTCTTTCCTGCAATATTAGATGAAGACGCAACTCCCCTCCGAATACTGCTCCCCTCTCGCCCAGGGCATTCCAGTGTTGTCTGTCGCAAGATTGACCGCCGCATAAAATGCTTTAAAGTCAGAATTGGCCACGCGGATCTAGCGCTACAGTAGTGGCACTGCAATGTTACTACCGTGCGTTTTAAACTGCCCGCTTACGAGAGCACTGCGATGGGGTAACTGATTGTGAATTGAGAGTCGGTTCATTTCCCTTGTTAACAAAGATTACATTTGCACAGCCCCGGACACATGGCCTTCGGTGTGCACCTAGAAGACGCGGGCGATGTATTTTGCTGCGTTGCGCCTTCCTTTTAAGGAATAAAACCAGAGGCGGGTAAGCCCCCGGAAGGCTGCCGCATCGTTAAGGAAAAAAACAATTGCTCACCGATGTCTTTTCGTGTCGTGCCACGGGTTCTTCGGCACAAGCTCCGACCTTTTGCTCCAAGTGCTGGGAGCTACTTTAAGAAACCGAATGGAGCAGCTCAATTTCTCCCGACGATACGAGCGTTGCTTGCTTGCTGCTGTTGGTGTTGGCGTTGCCGGTTCAGCTCGAACGCGGGCTGCTCATTGCTACTGCTGAAGAAGCTCACAGTGCATGGAGTAAAACGTCGGACGTCTTGCCGAACAACGCACCGTACGACCCAAAGACGCATCGGCGAGCCGTGCAGGGCAACCACAATAAAAAAAAATCCTGCTTACGCAATAATTAAGGTTAACGATTGCTTCTTAAAGCAGGACCCTAAATCGTAACGATTAATCGACTCGCCGTTGGGCTTAATCATTCCGCTCTCACACAGCATACAGCTTGCTCCCCCCCCGCTATTCTATACGTTGACAGTAATTGACGGCAGCTTCCTGCACTGTCCTCAATGGTCCCATGCCAATTTAGGGGGGAATTGTTGGGAGTAGAACATTCGGGGAACAAAACACAGGGAAATGCTGGCGGTGTGCGTGACCGGCCGTGGCCGTGGGCATCCCGGCCCTCTGCTGATCTTGCTGCTCGTGTTTTTTGCGTGTTTTGATTTGGTTTTCAAATCGTCCTCCGTCTGTCGAGCGGTGCAGTGTGGGAGCGAGTCCATCTACGCCATCCTCAGGGACCTCAGGGACATGGAGCAGAGAGAGGAGAGGTAGGGGACGGGGCAGCGACGGAGAGAGAGAGTGCACGGCGCGCGGGCATCGACGCGGCGGCGGCGGTGGTGGCAGTGGAGCCGACTTCACGGCCTCACGGCCTCAACGTCCGCAGAATTAAATGCACGCCGGGTTTGCACTCCGAGCGGATGAAGTTGCCTTCCCCCCCCCCTCCCACTTTGACTAACCGCGTCACTGGCTTTTGTGAAACATGAATGAATAAGATGGGTTACAATGTTGAGTGAAGAAAAAAATATAAATATTTTGAATGCCTCTGCGCTGAAGTGAGAATTGGGCAACGCTCTTCTCTGTTGGTGATCCCCAAGAGGTGGCAGAGCCTCAGCATTCCTCACACGGGGAGCAGCAGTCTCTCCGTTCGATGACTGTTTCTTTTACAGAGCGGTACTCGCAGCAACCCACCTCAGACGGATGATATGGCTGGGTATTCTCCTGGCCAGGATTTGAACATGCTGAGGTGTTTTTTCCTACGATTGTGTAACCAAATGCGCCGACTGCAATCACTGGCGCCGAAAAGTAAAGTGTTGAAGCAGCTGGCGGGGGCAGTGGCGTCATGATATTTGGTTCCCGACCATGGCTAGCCTTGGTGACTTCTGAAACTGGCCATGTAGCCCCCCCCCCCCCCCCCCCCCCACTTATCGGCAACCTGTGCCAACCACCGCAGGTCGTGAAGTACTGCACGCTCAAACAACACAGCTTGGGGGAGGCTTTCATCCAGCAGTGGATTGACAATGGAGCCTTACTTATATACATAAATAACCATTGTGATTTACTGTTCTTGGTTCTTTCGGTAAAGTCACGTAGAAGGGAAGTAATAAAATAATAAAAGTAAAAAACATAATAAAATATTATTTTTTATTATTTTATTATTTCCCTTCTACGTGACTTTACCGAAAGAACCAAGAAGATGAATCCCTGCAATCACGAAAGCTTTAAATCGAAATTTACTGTTCTGTTTTAATAACGTGTCGATTAATGCGTCGCTTTCCGATGGAGGGTAGCACTGCCAAATTCTCGTTTGGGAGCGCATGGGCACTTCGGCTCCGCCGGTTCTGCCGCTGACTTTGACCGTCTGGCTTCGTGTCACGTCCGTCAGGAGCGTTGCAATGCATTACTGTTGCGCAACCCCCCTTCACTTCTCATCCAGGGCATTGCTGCAAGGAGTCAAGATTGTGGTGGTGTCACATGACCTCCCCAACAGGCTCTTTCAGCAGTGGTTCTGGCAGGTATGGGCGTTACGTACGGTGCGAAAGAAGTTCAACATACATACATACATACGCTTGTGTGAGCAGGGAGAAATTGGCTTGAATGTCTAAAAGGTCAATAGCCCCCCCTCTCCCCCCCAATCAAGACCACTGGTCCCAGCGCCCCCCTTTCCCCACCTCTGCGCTACCCCCCCCAAGGTTAGTAATCAATTTAACACGTAGTAGGTTTTCGCGACCAATATTATTCATAATATAGGTTTTTTGGTGAGATCGCGTTATTTATAAATGTGTCGTAACCCTCCTCACGTTTTTCAAAGGACAAAATAATTCACTTTTTTAGCCCACCGGTGTGTTGAAGAGAGAATCAACAGCACTTTTAAATTTGAGTACGACGTTTCGCTGATAATTACAATCAGCTTCATCGGGCAAGAATGGTGAAGCTCTCCTGTTGCTTCCGGTCTTAAATAGCAGCAGGGTGACATCATCATTTAATTCAATTATCAGCGAAACGTCGTACTACTCAAATTTTAAAATGCTGTTGATTCTCTCTTCAACACACCGGTGGGCTAAAGAAGTTAATTATTTTGTCCTTTGAAAAACGTGACACATTTTTTACTGTTTGGCCGTGTCGGGTGGTGGAGGGTTACGACACATTTATAAATAACGCGATCTGACCCAAAAACCTTTATTATGAAAGGTTAGTCATGCAAGGATACACATATCACATGGTCATGCCTCTTGTCGACACTGTTTTACCTGCCGTGCCATGAGATCAAAACGACAACATTTGAATTGCAAGTGTGCTGTGCTAAACATTAACAGCACTGTGGTAGCATACCTGAAAATTGGAACCGATGGATTCTTAAGCGTGTCAAAATTAACATCATTACAACTTATTTATCCAGAGAAGCCCCACTTGAATTTAAAGACTTCTTTTCAGGAGGGTTCTACATTGGGATCCTTGGCCAATTCCAATTCAAAGAGAGCGTTTGCTTTTGAGAGGAACCTGGAATGCGCAGAGATATCTCACACGTTCGAGGAAATAGCGCACAAAGATCCGCACAGATGCGTTCGTAAATCCACCTGATGTGCTGCCGTCTGTTGGCCACCGTGTTGTCCAGTGGCTTTTGCGAGTTTCTCATATCCCTGTGGTCAACTTACCCTCCTCGCCTCCGCACCGCTGGTTCACAGGCGAGCGCTAACATTCCTGGCTTATTAATAAATTAACGAATTAATAAAAGGACATTCAGTGTACGGAGAGATTGATGTAGCAGTGATGTAGGAAAATACTAGCCTACTCGTGACATTGGTGAGGTTCACTGCTGGGTTCCACCGTCCGCTTCATATATTTATAGAGAGCACGTACGGAAAGAAAAACACATCTGCAGTGAACTTATACACACGTCCGTACAATTTTTTCAAAGTCAATGAATGGAAAAGAAAATGTTTCCAGTTGGAGACCTGCTGTCAGAATACGGCGTTCACAATGGGGGCTCAGAATTCCCTCGGGCTACCTGCACGAGCCCATGATCGAATCACCCGGAATGCGCCCGATTGCATTGCCTCTCGGCAGCGAAGCAACGCTCCGGCCTGGATAGGCCTTGGACGGGCGACAACCACGCATAAAATAGCTGTTGCAGGCTGCGGGCCTACGTGATGGGCAGCGGAGGGCGGTGCGGCGAAAAGCCATAGTTGTACCGTACTTATATGCCCTCGCATCTATGCGCGCTGTCTTCACCAACTCGCTGGCGCCAAACTGTTCCGCACGCCCTCCCGCTAGGCCTTGTGGAAGCCTCGGTACGTCTTCCAACCTGAAGATGGACCGATAAAGTTATTTTAGTTTTTATTCCGATTCCCTTCCGGTGACGTAAGTGTACGTCCGTTCCGATGATGTAAGTGTACGTCATCGGAACGGAATCGGAAGGATTAAAACTGACGACGTACACGTACGTCCTCGGAATGGGAAAGGGTTAATAGGTCCTCACCGACAGTGCTTGTGCCCCTGACAGCCTGGGACACTAAACGGGGAGATGGTGTCCCTGTGCTCGCGTGAAGGTGCTGAATCTCCCTGCCACGCGACTGGAGGGAGACGGGGGAGCCACTGAGTCCACCGTGAATTTGGCGTCGGAGGCCATCACTCACGTGCTCAAGCTGGGACTGCACTTGCTCCATTCCCCTAAGGTTTGTGGTGGTTTCTAAGGCTGGGTGGGGGGGGGGGGGGGGTGCAGGGGGGGGGGGGTAAGAAAAGCAAACTTCAAAGCTAAAATACACAACACCAAAATAATACCGTGGGGACGCAGAGAGAGAGGGGGGGGGGGAGCGACAGGGAGGAAGAGGACAAACGTATTAAAAATTGGAAGTTGGAGAAGGTTCAAGGGTAAAGTTTGTAGGGGAGATTAGAGACTTGAGGCAGCTGCTTGGGAAACTGGACATGATGGAGGGGAAGTCTTTCAAACGACGCTGTGAAAAATGGTGACGGCTCGGTCAGCGCCTCGGTTCCCACGATCTTGCGCGTTCCCGTTTTGAAATCGTCAGTGACATGCGGACCATCGGGTACTTTGTGTAATTTGCAGAAAAAATGTTCACGACGGTGCTTGCAGCTTCTGAGGGCTTTTTAAGCAAGAGTTACATTTTCCCCCTCAACGACCGTGACTTAGAGGGCAATACATGCGTGTGTGTGTGTATAGTGCACCGGTTCACGCGGTGTCCTACAAACCCAGGACGCCGATTTCCACTCACGACCAACACCAGTGACGATTATCTGAACGGGTTCTGGGCCTGCCCTAGGTCGACTAAGCTTCAAATGGTGCGGTCTGTAAACATCACCACTCGGGAGACAAAGGCGGCCAAGCGGTGGTGCTGGCCACACACCCACTTGTGTGCCGTGCCGGCCTTCATAGGTGCTGCTCGCTAACAGCACTTGTCCCCAAAAGCCTGTTAAAGGCTGTGCGGGGGATCTCTGTCTTTTATATGTGTCGTGTATTTATATTTCGCGTAGCCGTATGTGCACAGCCGTTATTGCCAGGCCGTAAGCAAGCGCTGTTGATGGAGGGCAGGTTTTCCGAAGTCGATAACAAAAACACACGTGGCATCGAGAAAAAAAAATCGTATTTTCACAATCACGCGTTGACATTTCGGGTGGACAGATCGCTTCCCTGTGCGTTTGCCTCGTCATGTCGCCGGCTGTTTTATTTGTTTGCGGCTTTCGGTGGAGCTTCATGATGCGAGGAATGAGCAGGAGCCAGAGCTAAAGTCGGTACAGTTTGGCGTGACTTCGACAGGAAGCAGTGGCCCGGGTCTTCCAAAAATATGTTAAACTTTGCCAAAAACATGTCAGCGACAAAAAATTCGTCCGTAAAAAAAAAAGATGAAATCTTTGCAAAAATTATGCGGACCCCAGTATTTAAAGCACGCGTTACTAAATTTTCGGTTTCCTCTGCATCATTGAGACAGTGTGACTTCTAAAACAACTCGTAAAAAGACTAAAAATCGCTTCGCGAAAAGAGCATGAGACACCTTAGTTGTCATTTTTTCCGACGACTTAAACAAAACTCCCGAGTAATAAAACAAGACTCAGTTCATCACCATCATCGGCTGTCATCTATCCACTGCTGGATGAAGAAGGCCTCTTTCCATGACTATTGCAGTCGCCAACCCCTCGGAGTGTCACGACGACTGTCTCCTGCTCACGAGCCTGATCTAGAAAAAATATTCTAGAACTCACTTTGTGCACCACATTGTTCCCTCTTTCCCGCGAAAATAACTGACGTCGTCCACTGACCACTGTGACGCTGAAACGGCCAATGGCAAGTGCTCATACCCACTTGTGAAAAACACTTCGAGCCCATCGGGAATGACCTCTCTCCTGCTCCTGGCACGCGGAGGCAAACCAATCACCTTTGTTTTGCGTGCGCCAAATGTTACGTGGAAATCTTGGCACGTGCGCGTGTGTAACGTCGGTGGCGAAAAGACGGCTGGCTTTTCGACTTGCCCATTCGTTTTTCGCCGTGAGGCAATTTTGGACGACTCATTATCATCTTCTCACGAAAGTCATCGCCGGCCCGTCACATTGGCAGCCGCTACGTCTTCACCCGTCTAGCTAATTCTTCTGTGCGCAGTTCTGGCCCGCAGACTTTTGCTGGGCAGTGTAATTTGTGCACACTTTCCCGGTGCACAGCGGTGATTCCCCCATCATTCATCTCTCGTCTCCAGGCCGTGAGAGCCCGGCTCGTGTTTTGGCAGGGGGCCAAATTGTGTCCAAATAGTCAACGAATATCGGTTGAGAGCTTTGACGTCACGTCGCGGTCAAATCGCACGAACGCCTTACTCGTGTATGTACGCATGTTGAACTTCTTTCGCACCGTACATAGCCAACCGTGCTAATCGGAGGTGCAGGAGGCATGGATGTGATCTGTGTATCCTTGCATTACTAACCTTGGGGGTGAGGGGGGGGCACCAGGAGCAGCAGTAGGAGGAGGGAGGGCTGCTCTAACAAAAATGTCGAGCCAATTTCTCCCTGCTCACACAAGCATATGTATGTTGAACTTTTTTCGCACCGTGCCTAGCCAACCACGCTTTTCACAGGTGCTGAGTGGTGCTGTAGTGCACAATACCCCCAATTGAAAGACCCAACCCTATCACTAACCCCAATCATATCTGGCCCCAATTCCAGAGTTATGACTACGCCGATCTCCACGTTAATTACCGCCCTGTAAACTCCAACGCGAATTCTGATCGTCCGCAGCAGTGATATTGATAACGCATCCACTTATGGTTTGCTACATTAATAGTTTTAATTTCACCAACCTCACGGGGATGATGGGCGGATTTGACCCCTGACCGATATTTTAAACTCGTGACCTTCCACTGCTGGGTTGAGGGGTCTGCCACTGCACCGGTGATTTTGGCCGAGCGTTGTCAAGATTGGCACGGGCATCCCAACTCCCCCCTCCGCAGACACGTCGCATTCTGTCGAGAGGGTCGGAATTCTGCCGTGCGTATCAGACAGCGTGCCTCGGCTTATGACGCTTCACCACCACCACCACAACCATTACAACAACAGAGCAGATTGTATCCCAGACGCTCAGAGTTGAGTTAAAAAGTAAGGCAACTGCAAAGTATTGTGCAGACTTGACAAATGAGCGTGGAGCGCACCGATGAAAGAATGTTAATTCTAAACTTGGTGCCGCTAATGAGAGCACTCAAGTCGTTTTATTTAGATTTTGATATATATCTTACTGTCCAAATCTTTGAAACTTCAACGTAAATTAGGGCAGGATGGGTCCCAAGTTAAAATCCAAGTTTGAGTGGGGAGGGACAAACTCAGCCCATCATCATCATCATCAACACCATCATCATCATCAACACCATCATCATCATCATTAACACCATCATCATCATCATTAACACCATCATCATCATCAACACCATCATCATCATCAACACCATCTTCATCATCAACACCATCATCATCATCAACACCATCATCATCATCAACACCATCATCATCATCAACACCATCATCATCCGTCCCAGACCGATAAAATTGATCACTGCTTTTTTTTTTGGAAGCCCCATATCCACAGCGATTGTCTCCTGCCCCCCAGAAGTAGAAATTCTGACATTTTCACCACGGGCTCAGGGTCCCCCAATGGGGGAGAAGCAGCAGCGCTTTCCTCTCGATGGAGCGAGCAAGGGCAGGGGTAAGAGACGGCGCTTCAACTCAGAAGGCCGCACTCGCCCCCCCGGCCCGCGCGACCGCTCGCGATAAACTTTCTTCTCGGGAAAGGCAGGGGGGGGGGGGGTTGTGTGATGAATCGGCCGCCGAAATGAAATCTGCCGCGCTTGTGAATGTGGACGTGGCGCGAGAACCTCTCGCTCCCACGGGACGGACTCACTGCGCCACATCTGTTGGACGTAACGAAACGAGCGGGGCGGAGCGACATCGAACCGCGGGGTTCCGCTGGTGCTATGCATCCGGTCGGTCGGTCGGTCGCACGGACGAACGGACGGCCGCTCATTAAGCTCAAGCGCCGCATGTGGCAGCAATTACTATTTTCGCCGATCGTTAATATTCGTACAGACGAATGGGGGATGGGGCCATTGCCCGAAACGTTGCACAGGTTATAAAGGGTTAATTTTTATTTTTTATTTATCTTTTTGAGGCAATGCTCAATAGTGTTGTTGTTGATGGCATAGAGTTTATTCTTGTGTTATTCGTACTTGCGAGCCGCTACCAACGCGGCAGCAGCGTCAACAAATACATTATTAATACGAATATCATCGTTCCGTGACGCTCGCTCTAAGGTTTCACTTCGGGAGCCAGGATCCTTTATTTAACTCGGAGATAGAAGAAAAATACACCGATTGAGATGCCGCGTAAAACAAAGCCTCCTTAGCAAAGGCGACCCGGGTTACATGCCGCGTCGTTTTAGGTGCACAACATACTTTTAAAACATTCCTAAATTCAAGATCTAACTTAGGGGACGTTACTGAGTAGAGGCTGGTGAAATCCACAATTCTCAAGTGAGCATAAGCTAGCAAACAAGTGATTGCATGCTCGAAATTATATATATAAATAAAGACTTTAGCAACCCTTCCAAAATTGGCTGGAGCCCAGCATGTGGTGGTGGCGGTGGTGGGGTCTGTGACAAAATAAGGAACGCATATTACGTTGCTCTCGCAAATTAAAATCATTAATACGAGCCAAACGAGATTACACCACTTAAGAGTGAATTTGTGAAATAAGCACATTTAATTTTCGATTTAAAGCTTTTGTGACTGCAGGGATTAATCTTCTTGGTTCTTTCGGTAAAGTCACGTAGAAGGGAAATAATAAAATAATACAAATAAAACATAATAAAAAAACAATTCTAACGACGTTTCGGCCACAACGCAAGCAGCCGTCCTCAGGTGAAGAACAGGTCTGTCGGCTGTCGGACGCTGTCTTTCCGACAGACCTGTTCGTCACCTGAGGACGGCTGCTTGCGTTGTGGCCGAAACGTCGTTAGAATTATTTTATTATGTTTTATTTCAATTATTTTATTATTTCCCTTATACGTGACTTTACCGAAAGAACCAAGAAGAAGCACATTTAAGTTATATATACACACACCATCAAACGTGACTAATATGTACGTTTTGTGTAAAATGCGTCGTGGAGGAGAACGGCACCAAGATGCACACGGGACCCAGCGTGCTCATTTGGGGCATTGTCTGCCGTCTGCTTTGCGTGCGTTCGCGTGTGCGTGCGTTCGCGTGCACGTGCGTGCGTTGGCGTGCGTTCGCGTGCAAGCGAGCGCGCGTGCGAGCGTGCGTGCGTGCGAGCGCGCTTTGCGGTCGGGTGGAGGGGTACGGTTACGGAGACCACGTTGGCATTGTTGGCAAACACGGGCACCGTAGCCCCGACGACGGCGCTGCTTACGCGGTGCCTCGCACCGCGGGCTCATAGCCGCCCTGCGATCGTAGCGATTGACCCGGCGTCAAGAACGTTCGTCCCGTGGCATAGCTGTCGGGCGTCCCGGCGGTCAAACTGCACCGGGGGTGGCGTTCAAGTAACTGCTTTTAAATTGCTCACAGAATCATAATAATGTAAAATTTTTCCTGGAGGAATCTGATGAGCTATAAAGCTCTTTTTCACACATGTCCAGTTGGTGCTCACGGCTTTTTAAATTCAATTATAATAGCCTGGTTGCGCACTGGAACAGTGTCCCATTGATGAGATTTTAAGTAAAAAAAGTTCTTTGAATTATTATTTTTTATAGTATGTATGTTGTTTGTCTCTTCAGTGTGGTTCTGTAATATGTGAGCGTTAGTTTTAATGTTATGTCAGAAACACTTAGTTTGTGCTCTTCAGTTGCCAGGGTGAAAAGTGGGATATTCCTGGCCAGCTGGATCCAAAACGTGATAAACAAACACACGCCGCTGAATTCGCGCGGTATTCGTGACGGGTCACACTTTGTTCAATGCCAACAGTGGTTGATCTATGGATAAACTGGGCCCCTGCCATGAAAACGTGGAATTGCTTGCATCGGCATTCCGACCAGAATCTCGTTTGAGCAAGAAGAAGACACCCTGATGTAACGTTGAATTCCTTCGAAGTAGTACCAATTTTATCCATCCCCGAAGGGAAGATGGGCTAAGTCGATGCTCCAAGCGGGAGTTGAGCAGTCTGCCTGCCACAGCATCGTGTGGCCGAATTGCTCGTGTTTCGTGTCGTTCGTATTTTATTTCGGATTGTTATAAAACCTGATAGGCTGGAGCGGTTCGTAGAGAGTGCGCGACTTTGCGATCGAAAGGTTCGGAAATTAAATCCCATTCAGGGGGTCAATTCAGCTCCTCTTCCCTCGGGGTTGATAAAAATGATTACCGCGTTGTGGGAAGCGAATCGTAATTATCCTGCAGAGAGACTGGCCCCTTACCCTCAAGAATGTGGGCCCCGGGGCGACTAACGGAATTGGAGCACCGCTCCAATTCTCATTCAAGCAGCCGGCGCTGACTTTGAATTTAACGGTTCTCCTGCAGTTTAAGAGCAGAATGCTGCAAGCGGAGTGTTTTCCCCTGCTCCCCCTCCCCATTATAATGGCGCAATGTGAATGTAGCAACAAGAATACTGACCCTGACATTGATATTACTCTCGTCCAATCTGAGCTATTCCACGGATTGCGTTGGCCCCCGGTGTGATTTCACCGACACGCTCACCGCACGCTCAGCCACATCTGCACACACTCACCCGTGTTCTAACCGATGCACTCACCCACAACATTGCATGTACGCTCACCTCCGCAAACTTACACTGAGCCCATGACGTAACTTATGTACTCGACGATTACAACAACAAAATCCATTCATTCGCCACTGAGTGACGGTGACATCACCGCAGTGCACGTGCCAGGCTAGGTGCAGTCTAGACTGGCACAGTGAAGTGTCGGAGGCCCGCTGGCAGATGATGGGACAAGCGCAGGTAATATGGGTTGATTGACAGAGATGACTGGCAGATGCGCCACCTGTGCTCCCCACTGTGCTAACTCGCTGTGTTTCAGTCACCCGGTGCCCCACTCGTTGTTGTGTGCGTCACTCCTCCGCCCTCCGTTGTGGCTGGAGGGTGATCGACTTTCAACTACACACTCACTCCAAGCGCACACTCACCCATGCGCTCAGTCACTCATCATTGTTCATTTCATACGGCGAGAGTGCACTCACTCTTTGGCTGACCCGGGACTCTATCGGCAACTATGTGCTGATGTGCATTGTGTACGTGCCAGTGGTAGTGCAGGAGTTAAGCACAACCGCACTACGAACCCGGCGACCCGAGTTCGATTCCCGCTCACGATCAACAACAGCGGCGAACATTTGAACCAGACCTGGGCCTCCTCTAGGTCGACTCACCCACCGTCTTCGTGTGCCGTGTCGGCCTTCATAAGTGCTCGCTAACGGCAGTTTGTGGGCGGGGGCGGTACTTTGTTTTTTGCCTCTGTGCACGTGCCAGGTGAGCATGCGTCAGGCACTGGAGAGCGTGCGGGAGAGACACCCGGATCTTCTGCTGCCGCAAGACACGCTGGCACACCTACTCAGCTGTCACGGGCTGCTCACCCCAGCGGAATTCCTCACCGCCTACGATCGCCCCTTCCATCTCACCCTGGACTCTGGTAACAGTCCATGCCACGCTCTCGCTCTCCGTTTCTCTCTCTCTGGCTGCTACGGACTCCTCACCTCGACCGAATTCCTCACCATCTACGATTGGCCCTTACACCACTCCACGCTCTCTCCGACTCTCCGCTGTCTCCGTCTCCAACTCTCTCTGTCTGCACCAACAGGGAATTAATGGATGAGATTTATCAAAGTTGAGAAGTCACCCAAAGTTTACTCAATCGAGATTGTACGTGGCAATCATCGCGCACCCCGCTACTGCGAGAACAGGGCAGGACTCTCCGGAAAAAGAGTCATAAGACTCAGTGAGGCTTTCCTGGACAAACAAGTGGACTTACTTAATAATCATCATGACAGTTCGGCAATTGGCTGATATACAGGAATAAAGAAACGCAGATGGTATGTATGTAATTTAAACATCTTTCGCACCGTACGTAGCCAACCGTGATAATAGGAGGTACAGATGTCCAGTTGTCGTCGCTGTAAACGCGCTGGTGGTCAATTAACGACACATCTCTCTTGATCCATTGCCCTGTCCTTGGCCCACTCAGTAGCTCAGTCTAATTCCCCACCCCACTCAGTCCTCCATTGCCCCCGTGTACCAGAAGGTGACGACCAGGCATGTAACAATTAGTAAATTAAATCAACACAAAATGGGATTGTTGTGCCGTATCAGACTGTGAGTGGCGTGGCAACTGGGCAGTGGTGGATCTGCACGTTGCCTGTAAACCAGCACCGTGGAGGCAGCGAGGGTTGGTAGATCGCACGAAAGTTGTGAAACTCCCTTCCCGTGGGCGTCGAGGAGGAGCCGTACCCTGACTCACCAGGAAAAGGCGGGACAGCAAGTGGACTAATCGCCACCTGTTTACATCTGTACGGGGATCGAGTGTTGCACCCTTGCACGTGTGGGTTTTCATCGGGGGCGGGCCTCTGATTTCCTCCCACTTGGATAAACACTCATCGTTAATTGGCTGAAAACGTCTTGAAAGTGTAAAAGACCCAATGCGAGGACCCGCATGAAAAACATTCCTACGACTTGGTGTAGACTCTCCCGGACAGCCAGTGAATGGGTACGAAACAATTTCGTTCATATTTACACGTTGACATTGTGAAACTCATAATGCGTGCTTGTCCATCAGGCGAACCGTCTGAATGAACGAGACCAGCCGAGAGGGTTACAAACGAGGCAAAGCAGACGGTGCAACTTGAACGGACACCATAGAGTGGACACGCGATACACACAGCATGGGGCCCCAGGCAGTGCAGAACGAATCGGTGGACAGAACAGAAACGCGGATAGTACGAATTAGACGGAACAAACGAGGCGAATTTATGATTAAATTCAATTCAAAATCCGATTGGGACAGTTCATGATGCCGCATCAGGAATCACTTATTGTGCGCCTTTCAGCGAGCGGGGGGTGGCTCATGTGCCAAGCGGAGAGCCCCTTTCCCGTTTACTCGCTACTGGGGGACGACGTGGCGGTGATGCCGGCGTGGTGGTGGGGACGGGGTGGCGGTGGTGGCGGTGGTGGCGGTGGGGATGGGGTGGCGGTGGTGGCGGTGGTGGTGGTGATGCCGGCGTGGCGGTGGGGACGGGGTGGCGGTGGTGGCGGTGGTGGTGGTGATGCCGGCGTGGTGGTGGGGATGGGGTGGCGGTGGTGGCGGTGGTGGTGGTGATGCCGGCGTGGTGGTGGGGACGGGGTGGCGGTGGTGGCGGTGGTGGCGGTGGGGATGGGGTGGCGGTGGTGGCGGTGGTGGTGGTGATGCCGGCGTGGCGGTGGGGACGGGGTGGCGGTGGTGGCGGTGGTGGTGGTGATGCCGGCGTGGTGGTGGGGACGGGGTGGCGGTGGTGGCGGTGGTGGTGGTGATGCCGGCGTGGTGGTGGGGACGGGGTGGCGGTGGTGGCGGTGGTGGCGGTGGGGATGGGGTGGCGGTGGTGGCGGTGGTGGTGGTGATGCCGGCGTGGCGGTGGGGACGGGGTGGCGGTGGTGGCGGTGGTGGCGGTGGGGATGGGGTGGCGGTGGTGGCGGTGGTGGTGGTGATGCCGGCGTGGCGGTGGGGACGGGGTGGCGGTGGTGGCGGTGGTGGCGGTGGGGATGGGGTGGCGGTGGTGGCGGTGGTGGTGGTGATGCCGGCGTGGTGGTGGGGACGGGGTGGCGGTGGTGGCGGTGGTGGCGGTGGGGATGGGGTGGCGGTGGTGGCGGTGGTGGTGGTGATGCCGGCGTGGTGGTGGGGACGGGGTGGCGGTGGTGGCGGTGGTGGCGGTGGGGATGGGGTGGCGGTGGTGGCGGTGGTGGTGGTGATGCCGGCGTGGCGGTGGGGACGGGGTGGCGGTGGGGGCGACCTCTCTTATACAAACACGAGCTGGGGGCGTTGTTAAACTGTGAAATGCTTCACAAAGTTTCGGGCTCATTTCTCTAAATGTAAAAAAAAAAATTACACGTATATATGTGAACTATAATTTGTTTTTTTACGGAAAAAGCCCAATTTTTTTTAAGTTTAAAAATATATAGTTGATATGATTGGCCGGGCTAAGAGCAGTGACGGGTGCAGTCGTCCGTGCGCTTTGCTGTGAACCCGTTGACTTGAGTTTGATTCTTGGCCATGGCTAACATCAGTGACGCACGATATCCGATCCGCTTCTTGGCACCCTTCTCTCTTCTGGCGGAATGGGCCACATTCACCGAGTAAAGGAAAAATAATTGGCCGCAAGTTACTCGATTGCAAAAAAATTATTAATCCTCCTGATGAAGAGTCAGTGAATTATGATGCGGCGGTGGCATCACCGCCACAACGATGTCACTGGAGTGCTACGGCCGCGCGCTTGACAATGATTTTAAAGTTCTTCTTTTCTTTCGTCTCATCCTTCGTCTTCTCCTTCATCCTTCATCTTCTTCGTCTTCTCCTTCATTCCCTCCTTCGTCTCCTCCTTCGTCTCCTCCTTCGTCTCCTTCAGCAGCCCAGAGCACGCAGCCTGTGCGCATGTCTACGAGAAAAGGGCCACTTGATTTTTCTTCAGGATCACGTTTTCTTTTTAAACGGATAGAGGTGGCGTATCGGGGAGCAGCGCACTCACCTGCTGACCCGGCCCCCTCACTGGAGGTCTGTGAAAAAGAGCTTCATAGCTCATCGGATTCCTCCTGCAGTCTGAGTAAAGATTCTGATCCTGGACTTAAATCTCCCTGCGTGCCAGTTGAAACGATGGGGGGCAGGCGTCTTAAACCCCCCCTCCCCACATTCCCCACTCCCCCTCCATCCCCCATCCACCGCCCCTCCCACAGAGTTGGTGTGGCCGGCGCCACAGAGCATGACATCGACGATGGAAATCAACGAGGGCCAGGAAGGAGAAACTTTAAACAGCTGAGCGAGCCGTGCGGTGGTTTGCACCTGCCCCCACCAACCCCGCCGGTGTGAAACGCGCGCACGCACACTCGCGCACACGTGCACACGCACCCAACCCACGCATTACACAAAAAGATCCCCTGTGTAGCCTTAACAGACTGTTGGGGCAAGTGCTGTTAGCGAGCACCTATGAAGACCGGCACGGCACACGAGGGGGTGGCTGGCCAGCACCACGCCCGACCGCCTTTGTCTCCCCAGTGGCGATGTTTACACACCGCACCAGGTGCTCATTTGAGGCTGAGTCGACCGAGGGGGGGGCCCAGGACCGGTTCAGATAATCGTCACCGGTGTCGGCCGTGAGCGGAAATCAAACTCGGGTCGTCGGGTTCGTCGCGCAGCGCGCTAACCGTTACACTGCCGCTTCCCACGCGCACGCACACTTACACACGTGCGCACGCACACACACCCAACCCACGCATAACGCACACAGACACACACACACACACTTGGCCTAATTTTTCCAGGCTTCAGACTGAGCAAGTGAGGTTCCAAAAAAAAGAAATACTTTATTTCCGTCGCTGGGAATGCACGCAAAGGAATTTTTTGATGTCAATGTTTGTGCGCCTCTTCGAATCTTTTTTTCTTGTTTTCCCCGCCAACGTGCGAGGCAAATAAAAAGCGGCCCACATTCCTTCTTCGGGCTTCATTAGAAGCAGCCCAACGTGAATTGATGGCTTCACAGTGTCAAATTGCGATATCTCATTTCGCATCGAGTCGCCGGGGCAGATTAATTGGAGTGTTTTCATTCATTTAGATTTTAAGCGGGAGGGGTGGCTCATGAGCCGGGGGGGGGGGGGGAGTCGTGGGGGGGAATGGTGAGAGGAGGGGGGGCCACTGGACCGCTGCGTCGCTTTCTCAGAGCGAACGTCGATGGCCTGAGCAGGAGCACGGCACTCTGGGAGACCGGCTTCGCCGTCGCGTTGGCATTTCGCCGCGCAGACATTTCGGGCGTGATGTAGGATCGTCGTGAACAGGCTGTGGATGGGAGGATAAGATGCTGAGGTGGGGGGAGGGGGGGTGCAGTGTAGCGTTGTGACATCAGCCAGGATGCGAGTGTCGGGAGGGCTGAAGCAAGGCGAGTGCTGGGAGGGGAGATTCAATGAAGCGTATAGAAACATAGAAACGTTGCCACCCGCACAGAGAGACGTCGACACAGAGAAGCGTGTCTCTATAGGTAAACGCGTACAGAGAAACGGTGAGAAGGACGCAAAGGAACATAGATGGATAGATACGCGCGGAGAAACGGAGCGGTAAGAATCACAGAGAAACATAGACGGAGCCAAAAAGACACGCGCAGAGAATGCGCCGGCATGCGCGTAGGAGACAGACACAGACAGAGTCGTGGTTGAACGTCCAGCGGACGTCGGGGCCGGCCCAACTGGGCGGGCGGCGTAGACGAACCGAGCAGCACCATTGCCGCTGACGATCTCCAAACGAGGCCGAGCTCGGCAGGGCATCACCACGATGTCACGTGTGTTGTGTGCTTGTTTTGTGTTGTCGTCTCATCTGCTGCGTGCATCGTAGGGTGGATGCTTCCAGCACCCGCGCCACCACCAGCAGCACCGGAGGTCTCTGCAGCTGGGATTTCCCTCTTCAGTCACCGGCCAGCCAAACCCTGCCCTCAGCCTCCCCACAGCCTACCCTCAGCCTAACCAAATCTTGCCCTTAGTCTGCCCATAGCCTACCCTCAGTCTGGCGATGGATCTTGCATGGTTCATAGAGGCTGGGTGCTCTGTACACGTGTCCATGTTGTTGGAAACTAACGTTTTTTTTCCGGCCTGCGGTCTTATTCCGTTACAGGGGTGGTTGGGGGGTCCTCTCATTGTTTGACGACTGCCCTCAGCCTGCCCCCCCACGTGATAGCGTGACATCACAGACCCCGCCAGCCTGGGAACAGGCGCCCACTCTCCCAGAGGAGTGACCACCCAGAGGCGGCTGTCTGCTCCACGTGTGGGGGGGGTTGGTTTGGCAGAGATGGGCAGTGTCTCTGAATTACGTGTGACTCAAACAATGTCACTTTAATTATACTTGTAATTTTTCAATCGCTTTCGAAATTACCTCAGAGTAATTTGTAATCTGCATCTAAACTAATTGGTAATTTGTATTACGTGAACATTTAATGACATTTCCTCTGGTAATGTGTAATTTGAATGTATTCTGCCCATCTAAGGGTTATGTGAACATGGCTATAGGGACAGAAACCAACCGTGCCCCCTCCCTTCCTGCTGGAGATGCCGAGAGTCCATGGGCCAGAGCAGAAATTGGTACCACCTCAAGTAGCGGAACGCACGTAGTCGCGATGCGATTGGACAGCGAGCGGTTGGAACCTGCGAAAGCTACGCCACATCGGGTGGTCACCACATGGAACATGACCAGGGCTGTGGCTCATGGACGAGAAGGGGCACACAAACTAGAGATGATTTGTATTGCACCAGGTAAAGCCCACTGAGCTGCATAGCTGTTGTTCAGATGCGACCTGGCCACAAATGATAGTTCAACGGAGTGGAAATGTATAGCCGCCAAATGCGCTAACCCCGTATGTCTAAATGTGGAGGGGAAAACTAGAGGAAAACCCGAAGAGAAAAACATCCAGGCGACCACGGCGAGAGAGAAATGCAAACTCCAAAAGTGTCGGGGTTGGGATCAAACCCACGACCTCCTGTATACCGGGTGAAGTAGTTAACATCTCGCCACCACGGCACCCCAAACGCTTGCCCTGTGCACCGTGTACGTGCATGCTGGTACCACTGCACACACGCACACACGCGTTGTAGTAAAGAGTTATAATTGAATAACAACAGAGCTATAACTTAGAGGGGGGCGGTAGCTGGCCAACAAAAACAATGTGGGGGTGGTTGGGGGGGGGGTCCAGGAAGGGCAGAGGGGGGTCCTATTGTGGGTTCAACTATTTTACGCTCCGTCGCCTTTGCTCCTTAATGACTTTAAAAACAATAAAAGTACGTAAATTTACAAAAGTATAATAGTCCTCTGTTTCCAGACGAAAGCCTCGCTGAGTCCCAAGACTGTTTTTTGGAGAGTTCTTGAATTTTCTGCACGAACAAATTAATGTTTAAGACTGAACATACATGATGCACACATTGCTTTTCTAACCCCTATACGCATGCGTACGTACAAACTAAAAATATGTATGAATACCCACCACATTTATATAAACGGGAAATGTTATCGTATTCATAAGAGACACAGACCACTGACAGTCCGTTTTTTTACAATTCTAAAAGAACTTTACATCATATTGGTTATCAATGAACATCAGGCACTCATCCATTTTCGGGTCATTAAAATGAATACCATATTTTGGAAAGATAACAGTGGCCGTCCTACGTATAAACTGGTTCCCGTCGTGGGCACGTGGCGTTTCCACCGCATGGCAACCACCCTCTGCCCACGTTCTTGCTTTTTGTTAAATTACTAATCGACGGCCACGTACCGGCGGACACTTTGAGTGGGCCGAACGCCAGCGGGAAAATCACGCCGAGCCCTTGAACTATGGCTATTGGTCGCGAAAACCTACAGCGTGTTAAACTGACGTGTTCGTATTTCAAACAAACAAAAAACACACCAACCAACCCCACGTATTATCCGTGATTCGCCATCTCGAGCCGTTCACTCTCTCGTCTTCTGGGTCGTAAGTTTCCGCAATCAAACGCCGTTTCCACAGGTCCGCCCTTTAAACAAAACCAAATCGGCGGAACGTGCGACGCGATGTGTGTCCGCCACGAGGGCTTGATGTCGTCCCCCGGCGCGTGGCGAGCCGGCGCGTGATGCTCCCTTTCATGTTGGTCTACAAGCCTCCGGCGAAGTGGCGCAGAGACCGCCTTGCCGTCCTTTCAACTTAGCAGGGCAACGTTCATTCACCACACCACCACCACACCACCACCACCCCCCTAACAGCGAGGATAAAGGAGCGGCCCTGCAATGGCGCATCCCGCGCCACTTGTTGGCGGAAGATGGGTCTTCCACTCGGGGGCAGCCTTCTTCAAAGAGAGCACATTTCTAGCAGAAAACTTGGCCTACCTTGAACTCGCTGGCCAGATGCCTAGCCGGGCGGTGATGGCTATTGCACCTGGCCCGTAATCCGGCACGGGTGGAGGTGAGGGTTGGTGGACCGGACAGATGGTTGTGAAACTCCCTTCCCGTGGGCTGGAGAGGGGGTGACGGGGCCCTCATCCACGTGGTGGTTTTCTGCGCGCTGCTTCGGTTTCCTCCCACGTGAATAATGAGCGCACGTTCAACAACTGCTGAGAAAGAGTCGCGCGACTCAGCGTGGCGTTCCTCGGTGGGGGTGGATTTAAGAAACCCGCAAGCCCAATGTGTCGTCTGTCACGCCGGGAGTTCGAATTGAATGCGGCCGACCTCTGGATCGGAGGCCACAGTCGCTGCTGCTGTTGCTCTTCGCCGTCCGCTCCCGACAGGGAGAGCGGACGGCGCGTGGGTGGAGTGCGCTGCCCTGCGCGTGGCCGTGCCGACACCGTCACTCCATGGGATTACGATTCACACGCAGACACGCAGAGAGAAACAAAGAAACAAGCATCCGTGGGGAGAGTGCGGAGAGATGTACGCCCGGGATTACGCTGAGAGACGGAGAGAGTAACACCGGTTCGAGAAGTCAAACACAACGAACTCTATCTGCCGGGTTCATAGCGCAGCGCGCTAACCGCTACACTACCACTCCCCGAGGTCAAACACACACACACACTTACCCTGTTATACATACACTCACTTGAAACTCTTGAGAAACGTGAGTGGGCTTGGGCAGGACAAGTCGCTGGAAACGATGATGGCCAAGGAATGGAATGTGTCCAAGAGGGCATCCACCGAGGAGATGGAGCGATGAAATCAGCTCTTGTACAGGTGCCGAGCGGCTTGTTAGATCACAGGGCCCTGAGATGTGATGCTGACTTAGAGGGGCCTTCATCCAGCAGTGAGTTGACCATGGCTGACGACGTCAAGGACAGTGTCTCCTTGCTTAAACGAGCATTGAGTGGCGCTCGTTGTCATTTGTGACCCTGAGCCGTTGGTGGCATTCCGCATTCCTGTGGCAGAGGCCAGGCCCTCCATAGAACAACCACTGATGAGGATCCCACAAAGTGGTAGCCTATTTTATGGCCTCTGGAGAGATGATGGGTTGATTCAACCCCCGACCAAGGGTAGAACTTGTAACGTTCTGACAGGTAGATTGAAAACTCATTTCTTAACAATTATTTTTGTGTTCAGCCGATTAGCGCGGTTGGTGACGTACGGTGCGAAATAAGTCCACCGTACGTACATATTCTTAGGTTTTTTAGGTAAAGTCACGTAGGTAAAAAAATTTAAATGAAAATTAATAAAAGTTAAAATTCATTTATTTTTTATTTTACTTTTACTAATTTTAATTTTTTTTACCTACGTGACTTTACCGAAAAAAACCTAAGAATATGAATCTTTGCAGTCACGAAAGCTTCAAATCTAGAAATACGTACGTACATAGTCAATTGCTCAGCCACTGTGCATATACAGCTGTGGTATTGTTGGTATTATTGTGCAGCCCTTAGTCAATCCACGGTAATGGCAGCGCAGAGCCGGACCCACGCAACTTTTAACACGGACATCATTTAGACTTTTATAGTCTCCAAGCATTCCAGAATGGCAATGAAACCCAGTTCATTGCCGTGGTTCATATACCTGCATTAAAGCCATCCGCGTTTTATCAGCCGTGATCTATCCACTGCTGGACGAATGCCTCTCCCCCCCCCTCTCCACTTTGCGCCAGAGCGCAGAAGCGTGGTCACCACATCTACGCCTCTATGTAAGGAACGACACAGGTGGACTTCTCTACAAATTTGGCTGTCGCCTGATGAAGCTGGTTGTAATTACTGGCGAAACGTCGTACTCCTCAGAGTGTAAACGTTGTGGCTTGGCTCTCCAACACACCGGTGATGCTGTACTAGTATACTACACTATACACTACACTACTATACACTACACTATACACTACACTACTATGCACTACACTACTATACACTACTATACACTACACTATACACTACTATACACTACACTATACACTACACTACTATACACTATACATTAGTGCTGTACTAGTAACGAATTGGCCACGTTCTGTTTACGTGACAACCCTTACTAGTTGGCTGTGTCGGGTGGTGGCGGGTTTAACGACACATTTATATATTTACGCGATCGAACCCCCAAAAATACCTCTATTATGGATGGTGGGTTGCTTGACTATACTTCCCCAAGCTGGTTGGTGAACGGGGACACACGACCGGTCCAGATATGACTTGCCACGAGAGTTGCCACCTGTGCTGGTCTTTACGGGATCGTCCTCTCTTTGAGGTTAGCCGTTCCGGGAAATCTGTAAGTCCTCCCTGGATATTAAAAGTCATGGTGTTTGTGAGTTTATTAATAATAATAATGACGACAAATTACCACTCAAGACGAAGCATCTCCATGCAAGATTCTCCTGTATTCCAGTATTGTGACGATATTCTCCGTATTCTAAGGTTTTCGGTAAAGTCACGTAGGTAAAAATTTTAAATTAATAAAAGTAAAATAAAAATAAAAATCACGACGTTTCGGAGGCAACACAAGCTTCCGTCTTCAGGTGAAACCGTCACAGCACGATAGCTGTATCAAGTAAGAGAAATTCCAAGAAAACAGTCCTTGTATATATACTGGTTGATTAATTTTTATTTTATTTTTTATTTTACTTTTATTAATTTAACATTTTTACCTACGTGACTTTACCGAAAAACTTATAATATGAATCCTTGCAGTCACGAAAGCTTCAAATCTAGAATTAATATTCTCCGTAGTGGCAACCCTCTCTCTCTCTCTCTACTCGACGCGAGCGATGGCTTGGAATCCAACTCAAGGAAGTCGGTATTCATAGCCCAGCAAGCTATATCGACGGCACCACCCCAAATATTATTATTACATGCAGTATAAACACATACACACACACAAATATATAAACAAGCACATTCATCTTTAGGGAGCTCATTAAGTGCCTTATTCCACGCACTTTGGCTTTGTTTGGGAAATGTAAAAGCTGATCTTCTCAGTCTGCCACTGTTCGTACGGTGCCATTAAATCAGCCCAAGTGATTTTTACGACCTCGTTTGGTTTCAGTGCTTTTCCTTTTTTCCCTGCGCCGGAGGCAATGACAAACCAAACGATAACAAAAAATATAACAACTGAAACTTTGTTCGAATATTGCTGCCAGCGAGAATGACAACGTTGGAATATTTAAGTGATCGTGGAATAGGTCACTCCACCCCCCCCCCCCTCTATGGTGTAGAGGGATATTCACAACTGGTGTTGGCCGTGGCTCGGAATCGAACCCAGGTCACCATGAATAGGAAGATTCCCCGTATAGCCTGAACAGACTGTTGGGGCAAGTGCTGTTAGCGAAAACCTTTTCACGCCGAAACAGCACACGAGGGGCTGGGTGGCCATCACCACGCCCGGCCGGATTTGTCTCCCCAGTGGTGATGTTTACACACCGCAACAGATACTCATTTTAAGGCTGAGTCGACCTAGAGGAGGCCCAGAACCGGTATAGACATTCGTCACAGGTGTTTGCTTCGGCGGTAATAGAACTCGGGTTCTCCGGGTTCGTAAACCATTGTGCCACCGCTCCCCATCGAAGACACGCACTCGCAGGCAAATACGTGCACACACGTGACGAAACACGTGAGCACGCGTACGCGAATGCACACACGTGACAACACACGTGATCACAGGTTCACCCCACCGTCCGTCACGTCCACCCAGGGCCAGATTTAGATTGTGTAGGCCCCTGGAATACAGGTACTGTTGAGGCAACCCCCCAG